AGGAAGGGAGAGGGAGAGAGAGATAGAAACATCAATGATGAGAGAGAATTATTGAATGGCTGCCTCCTGCATGCTCCCTACTGGGGATTGAGCCCACAACTCGGGCATGTGCCCTTGACTGGATTTGAACCCGGGACCTATTGAGCCAAACCAGCGAGGGCTGTACTATTATTATTATCCCCATTTTATGTATGGGGAAAAGGAGGCACAGAAATGTTAACTAGTTTGCCCAAGGTCACGACATACTTAAGTGGCAGGACAAGGGTTCAATCCAGGCATTCTGCCTCCAGAAGTCAGGCTCTTAATCCCTTTGCTGTGCTAGCTTCCCACGAAGTTCCTGGGTCCCACCATGGTGGTCATTTATATGGAGGGTTGGAAACAGCAGCCAGTCGCCTGAGACAAAGCTTGATAGCCTAACGATAGAAGTATGAGGAGCCATACACAAGGAAACAGAAGAAGCTGCAGCTGCCACCCCGCAGTTGGGGCTGGGCCAGGATGAGGGCCAAAGGCCTCCCCGTCGCCATCTCTGTGTTTCCCTGCTGAGCCCCTGCCAAAGGGTAACATGGCAGCTCTGCTTTCAACAGAGAGTGCAAGGTCATTCACTCCCTTCAAACTGAGTGCTTCATTCACCCCCTTCCACTGTTCAAACACTGTTGGTGCCTGGGGAAGGGCCCTGTCTCACTCAGTCACAGTAATGCTATAAGAATCTGTGGTGTGCCAGGGAAATACTATCCTGCAGCCTTCAATCTTTTTTTTTTGGAAACAGGTGGGGTATAAATTATAAATGAACACACGTGCCTGTCTTATAAGGGAGTAAGGGACAACTAAAGAAAACACAAGCCCTGCAATAATATCAAGTTTCCAATGCATCCATGCCTGATTCGATGATACTCAAGGAACAGGCTCCTGGACTTCTGATTTTCAAACACAAGTGAAGCTTTTTTAAAAAGTAACTGAAGGAAATGACATAGTTTGGTAGCTTTTTACTTTGCCAAGAAGGCCATTAATAAAACAATAATCAATAGTTTCTAGCACCATTATGTCATAAACGAAAGGACATATTAATAACTTCAAAAGTGAAAAAGACAATCTCAGAATGAGTTGGTCTTTTAGATAGAATACATTCGCTTATGAAAAATTCAGTACATTGTCCTAATTTTTCTCAAGGGAAATGCTATCATTGCCAGGTGCTGGTTCCCAGAAACTACTGGTAAAGTAGGAAGTTTATGGTCTAAAGCAAGCATGTCAAACTCAAAGGCTAACACAGGCCAAATAAACAAGGTTTAAGTTTATGTGGGCCACAAAAAAACAAAAGCTTCAACTTTCATAGAAACATAGGTTTATTTCGATAGAGACATGCTGAATACAAAGGGATGAAATAAATGAGTCATCGTTAACATAAAATAATAGAACACTTTAATAAAAATTAATATTTTTCTTTAACATTAACTTACCAGACACTGAATAACTGCACAAATTAATAAGCATAACATAAATAAACCTATTTTTCTTGTTCTCTGAAAGTGAAATATTTCCTGTTGTGCACACCAAACAAGTCCAAGACTAATGACGTGGCAATTGGCTGCCAGAATATTCGCTGCTAGTATTAGTGGAGAGAAATGGTGTGCAGGCGCGTAAGGAAAATGAATGCAACACGATTATAGTAATCAGTCATTAGAGAACGTTGTAGTTCATCTACACTAATAAAAGACAAACATGCAAATTTACATACCTTCACTACACCTTAAGCCACGCCCACCAGCCAATCAGAGTGACTATATGCATATTAACCCAACCAAGATGGCGGCCGGCAGCCATGGAGCTGAAGCTCTACTTAAAATCCACACTCCACTTCAGTTATACACACATAATTCTCCCTGACCTAGATGGGACGGAATACTCATAGCAAATGGAGAATACAGATCGGCCTGAAAGCCGAGGAAAGAAAGCTAATGGTCTGCATGTCATTCCCATATTCAGACTTCTTGGGGACTTTTTTTCTTTAATTGAGCCTCCTTTTAAAAGGAAACTAAGCTGGTCTTTCATTTCTTATTAGAGTCTAGGAGAGATCAGCACCTAAAGAGAGAGGCTGCAATATTGAGAGACACATGTGGAAATCGCTTCCATGCTGGCAATTTCCTGAACTACTTTCAAAAGCCCCTTTTTGGCTTAAAGAGCCCATGGAGCCCTTTTAAGATTTTATACAAAGAAACCGATCGGTTTCATAATGCTGTGATGAAATTAGGGCCCGGATTGCTTAGCTGGAATGACTTTGCACACAGAAGCGATCCTTTTCTTAGAGATGGGCTGTAATTGTCCAGGGGAAATCGCCTCTCCAGAGGATGTAAGACAAGCATGTCAAACGCAAAGGCTAACACAGGCCAAATAAACAAAGTGGAAGTTTATGTGGGCCACAAAAAAAACCCCAAAAGCTTCAATCTTCACAGAAATGTAGGTTTATTTTGATAGAGACATGCTGAATACAAAGGGCTGAAATAAATGAGTAATCGTGAACATAAAATAATAGAACATTTTAATAAAAATTAATATTTTTTCTTGAACATTAACTTACCAGACACTGAATAACCGCACAAGTTAATAAGCGTAACACAAATAAACCCATTTTTCTTGTTCTCCGAAAGCAAAATATTTCCTGTCGCACACAACAAACAAGTCAGTACAAGCCTAATGATGTGGCAATAGGCTGCTAACATATTCGCTGCTAGTATTAGTGGAGAAAAATGATGCGCCTGCGCGTAGGGCAAATGAATGCAACATGATTATAGTGATCAAATTTTTGTGCACTGGGCCTCTAGTTATTAATAATTATGTATAACAGGATATTGTAAAAATTAAGTTACGAAATTTTTATTAAAACGTTTCTTACATACCGTTATATTGGCTGGGCAACAAAAAGTATTCGTTGTGGCCTCGAGTTTGACATGCTTGGTCTAAAGAATCAGAGAAATAAGTTTAAATCCCATCTCTGTTACTATACCTGGAGCTTTGCCTTGCATTCTGGTTACCTATCTATTACTGTCTAACAAACTACCCCAAAACTTACTGGGCAAACAACAACCATTTTATTACACGTATACATTCTCTGGGTCAGGAATTTGGACAGGGCACAGTGCAGTGGCATGTCTACTTCAGTATTTATGAGAACACAGTTGAGAAGACTCAGATGGCTGGGGGTGACTCTAGTGACTAGGACCTAGTCACCTGGAAGCTTCTTCACTGACCTGCCTGGTGCCTGGGCTGGGATGGCTTGAAGGCTGGGCTCCGCTGAGACTGTCAACTGGAGTGCCTACCTGTGGCCTTTCCATGTAATTTGGCTTTGCTTAGAGCATGGCAGCCTCAGTATAGTCACACTTCTTTTATTTTTAAAAATATGTATTTCATTGATTTTACAAAGAAGAAGGGAGAGGGATAGAGAGTTAGAAACATCGATCAGCTGCCTCCTGCATGCCCCCTGCCAGGGATCCAGCACATGACCAAGGTACGTGCCCTTAACCGGAATCAAACCCGGGACCCTTCTGTCCGCGGGTTGATGCTCTATCCACTGAGCCAAACTGGTTAAAACGTCACACTTCTTTTATTAAGCCAGTTGGCTCAGTGCTCCAAGAATGAGTAAAAGATAAGGCAGAAACTACATAGCCTTTTATGACATGGCGTTGGAAGTCATATGACATCACTTCTTATGTAAAATGTTGGTGGGATCATTCACACCTTCACATGGATTCAACAGGATGGGACATAGACCACACCTCTTAATGGGAGACATATCAAAGAATTTGCAACCACTTGTTGGCCACGGTGGGATGGTGGAGTAGGTGAGTGGGGATACCAGATCAAGGCGGGGTGCCAGTCACTGTCATTGGGGCAAGCCTCTGGTGGTTACTGAAAATTCTTTGCTCCCACGTGCCACAGTCCCGCCCAGTGTTCACACCTGCTGCTGGTGCCAGCCCCGCTCACACTTGCAGCCAGCGCTGGAGCTGCCGCTCGCACCCCCTGCCAGTGCCCCGCACTGGTCCCGATCACTTGACATCATCAGCGGGTGTGAGTGGTGGCTGCTGGCCCTGATCGCCCCTGAGGGCTTCTCCACCTCCCTCAGCTCCTGAGGGGTGATCAGGACAGCAGCCAGCCCCGCTTGCACCCACTGCTGGTGCCAGCTCCAATCATTCTGGGCCATCAGCAGGTGCAAGCGGGGGCGGCACTGTCAGCGCATGGGAGCAGCGGCAGCAGGAGCGAGGCTGCCAGTTGCCAGGGGGCTTGGTGGGAGGGGCCGGGCGGGGGCATGGAGGATGGGCTGAGACCTGCCTCCGTGCCTACCTCAGCCTCATGGCCCACAGTTCCTTTCAAGGTGCACGAATTCATGCACTGGGCCCCTAGTTGTAAATAATGCTGCGATAAACATACAAGGGTGCATATATCTTTACAAATAAGTGTTTTCATACTTTTAGGTAAATACTCAGGAGAGAAATTGCTGGATCATATGGTAGTTGTATTTTTAATTTTATGAGAAACTTCCATACTGTTTTACATAGTTGTAGTCATGTTTTTAAAACCACCACTTTGAGGTTATCACATTTGATCCTCACATGAACAACACAAGTTATGTATCATTATCCCCATTTTATAGAAGAAAAAACTGAGACTCATAATGACCATAAAATTCATCCCAAACTAGTGAAGTACTGAGCTAATATCTGCCTTCCTACATTTTCCTATGCTCATGGCCTCTCCAGTGAACCTGTAAGCCTGCAGACCATACCCTCTTACCAAGCAAGGGAAGGAATCGCAGGTGCCTAACGCTGCTCGCTGCTTGAAGAGGGGCCAGGGTCCTGCCTTTCCCTTTGGCTGATTTATTCCCATAAATTAGCCTTGCAGGCCAGGCCCGAGCTCCGCCTCTTGTTCTTTGGTTCCCATGCTGCCCTTTGGGCTCTGTGTTGGGTTTTGCCTCGCTTGAGTTTTAACCATCTGTTTGCCTTCAGGGGCCTTGCCTGACTCGTCCTCTGCCTTCAGCAGGCTGAAGCGTGGGGATTGACCCACTTGGCTGGCACCTGTTGCCAGGGGATTCGGACAACATAAGATATTCACCAGCGATGACACAGGTATGATAAGAGTCAGCAGTGACAGCTGGGCCATTCCTCACTGAGGTCCCTAAGGAGTTGGGTTGGCCAAGGGCCCAGGGCCCTATAGTCAGAGTAATTTATTTATTTCTCTTGCTTGCAAATGCCAGAAGCCCATCCCACGTCCAAAGGACTAGGAGAGGGCTGCAGCAGCATCAGACAATATGTTCTCACACATATTGTCCAAAGGCAAGAAAGAAAGAGCAGGACTTCTGGCATTCTTTTTTAGCCTCACCCAAGGATATTTTTTCTATTCATTTTTAGAGAGAGCAGAAAGGGAGGGGACAGAGGGAGAGAGAGAGAGAGAGAGAGAGAGAGAGAGAGAGAGAGAGAGAGAGAAACATCAATGAGAGAGACACACATCAATTGGTTGCCTCCTGCACTGGCCCCATTTGGGGCCAGGGATCGAACCTACAATGGAGTTACATGCCCTCGACTGGGAATTGAACCTACAGCCCTTTGACCTGCAGGCCAGTGTGTAACTATAGAGCAAACCGACCAGGGCAAACAAGGATGAACTATTTGCCAGAAGCTCCCCACCCCTAGACTTCCCCTGGCATTTCAGAGGCCAGAACAGGGTCAGATGTCACCCCAACCAATCCCTGGCAAAGGGAAATGAGTTATTATACATACATAAAGTTTTAAAATAGACTTTACTAATATTCTAATGACTATGTATGGTATCAGGGGTGGGGGTGGGTATTAGACTTATTGGGGAGATTACTTCATAAGTGATATAAATGGCTAATAATTATGCTGTACACCTGAAACTAATATATTGAATGTTAACTTTATCTTTTTCCTTTTTATTGAATTTACTGGGATGACATTGATTAACAAAATTATACAGGTTTCAGGCGCTCAATTCCACAACACATCACCTGTACACTGTATTATGTGGTTGCCACCCCAAGTCAAGTTTCCTTCTATCACCATTTATCCCCCTATACCAGGGGCTCTCAACCTGTGGGTCGCGACCACTTTGGCGGTCGAATGACCCTTTCACAGGGGTCGCCTAAGACCATCCTGCATATCAGATATTTACATTATGATTCATAACAGTAGCAACATTACAGTTATGAAGTAGCAACAAAAATATTTTATGGTTGGGTCACAACATGAGGAACTGTATTTAAAGGGCCAGAAGGTTGAGAACAACTGCGGCTATACCCTCCCCCATTTTCCCCCAACAGTCACCACACTGTTGAACATCAACTTTAACTGAAAAATTTAAAAAAATTTTTTTAAAAGCTTAATGCCAACATCCTCAATGAAATGAATATGTGTCTGAGTAAGCTGTAAAATAAATGAGGGAACTCATTTAAAAATGAGTGTTTTTAATGTAAGGAAGGCCTGTGTAAACATAATTACAAACCTCAGAAACCATAGAAAATACATCAATATGACCATTTAAAATTTTTGAACAATGTGAAAAGAAGAAAGTACCATGAACTATGCCCAAAGGGGGAAAAATGGCAAAGTGGGGAAAAAAAACATTTTCAACTTGGATTGAAAGGCTTATTTTCTGAACATAAATATAAAATTTAAACCAATCAATAAGAAGACCAATTTAAAAACATAGTTACTGAAGTGGGATTCACATAATACATCATAATATTTTTTCTAGTTTTTAAATTAACTTTATTGAAATATAATGTATATACAATAAAATCCACCAATTTTAAGTGTAAAGTTTTGTGACTTTTGACAAATGTATATGATTATGCAATCAGGACATAGAAATTTCCCTCTTACCATTTTGCAGTAATTTCTCTTTTCCCATACCTTGCATCTGAGGACCACTGATGCACTTTCTTTCTCTTTTTTTTTTGTGTGTGTGTGTGTGTGCGCAGAAAAAGCTCAATGGTGTGGCTTGATGTACTTTCTATCACTATGATAGAGTTCAGAGAGGCAAAAGCAGTTAGAATTTGTAGAGGAAAACATTTTGTTATGTTTAGACTATCATGTAAATGGGATTATACAAGATGAGTCTTTTGTATCTGACTTCTTACACTTAGCGTAATGCTTTTGAGATTCATCCATGTTGTTGCAATGATCAGTAGTTTGTTCCTTTTCATTGTTGTGTAGTATTCCATTGAATGGATACTCTAGTGCCCTTTATCTTCAGCAGATAAACTCCAAGACACCCAGTGGATGCCTGAAACCACGGATAGTACTGAACCCTTTGTGTACTTTGTTTTTTTCCTGTACAAACATACATACATACATGCCTCACTTAAAGGAAGCCCTTTTGGCTTCTCTTGGCATATTTAAATTTTGCCAGCATCACTACTCTTGCACTTTGGGGTCACTATTAAGTAAAATTAGGGTAACTTGAACATACGTCCTGTGATACAATGACAGTACATCTGATAACTGAGACGGCTACTACGTGACTAATGAGGGTGGGTAGCCTATACAGCCTGGCTCTCCTGGACAAAGGCATGAGTCACGTCTCTGACGGGATGAAGCACGTTAGCTGGAGATTTATGACACTGCTCAGGATGGCACATAACTTACAACTATGAATTATTTCTGAAATGTTCCATTTAGTATTTTTCAGGTCAAGGTTGACCACAGGTAGCTGAAACCACTGAAAACAAAACCCTGGGTAAGGGGAACTAATGTATCACAATTTGTTTATCCATTCAATAGTTGATGAACACTTTTTCCAGTTTATGCACTTATAAATAAAGCTGCTATGAACACGTCTTTATATGAACATGTGTATTCATTTTTCTTGGCTGAATATCTAAAAAGTGGAATTTCTAAGTCATACATAACTATATGTTTAACTTTAAAAGAAACTGCCAAACCATATTTCCAAAATGGTTGTACCATTTTACATTCCCTCCGGCAGTATGTATGAGAGTTCTAGTTGCTCCACATCCTTGTCAGAACTGAGTATGGTCAGTCTTTTTGATTTTACTAGTAGACATTCTTATAGATGTGTAGTGGTATCTCATTCTGATTTCAAGTTGTATTTCCCTAACAATGTTGAGCATCTTTTCATGTCTTTTTTGTATTTATATATTGTCTTTGGTGAAATATCTGTTGAAATATTATATATTTTAAGGTCTTTGCTAATTACATTATGTCTGTCATTTCTTGGTCCATTTCTATTGATTTATCCCCCCACCTCCAGCTTATGAGTCATGCTCTTTTCATACCTGATAATATTTTTGTTTGCATGTTGGACATTGTGAATTTTACCTCATTGAATATTGGGTTTTGTTGTTTTTCACTAAATAGTGTTGAACTGTTTTTTGTTTTTCTTGGAGCACAGTTAAATTACTTGGGATAAACTTGGTCCTTTTGAGTCTTTTTTTCCTTCTTTTATTGATTAAAATATTACATATGTGTCCTTACCCCCTTATTGCCCACCCACTCATGCCCTCACCCCCCCATTCCCCATATCTGTGTCCATTGGTTAGCTTATATGCATGCAGAGAAGTCCTTTCGTTGATCTCTCCCCCTTACCCCCACCCTCCCCTACCTTCCCTCTGAGGTTTGATGGTCTGA